CTAACACTTGTCGGGTATTCCCAAAGATGGCATGGGTACAAGATGTGCCAGTGTTTTGCTGGATATCTGCTGAGTGACAGGTTGGAAGGACCTGTGATAAAATGGGGTGGAAATTTGATATCAGAGATGCCAAAGCATGATGGGACATAATTGATGTTGAGTTTGGTAAGATAGGGTGAGAAAACTCAGCAGGCCTTGAGGTGTGAGACCCCCTCCAAAAAAAAAAATGCCACTTGGACTTCACGAAAAAAGTAAGATTAGCCCTCTGTATTTCTGTTTTCCTATGAAATGTGGATAACCTCACATTGCCAAATTTCTGCCCATTTACTTAGTTTCTCCAAATCCCCTTGCAAATCTCCTCACAACTCCCACTCCCACCCAGTTCTGTGTCATCTGCGAATACAGAAATATTACATTTAATCCCCATATTCAAGTAAACGATATAGGTTTTGTCTGGCTGGGATCAAGCACTAATCCTTGCAGTATCCCACTAATCACAGCCTGCCAACCTGATACTGACCTATTCATTCCTACTTCCTGTTTTCTGTCCATTACACAGTTACTATTGCATGCCAGTCTATTCCCCCTGCCCCATCCCATGTAGTCAAATTTTGTTGACTAGCTTCTTATGTGGAACCTGATGAAAAGCTTGCTAAAGATCCATTTGTGCCCCCTCATCTATTCTGCTGGTTACATCCTCAAAAGACTCCAACAGGTTTGTTGAACATGGCTTTCCTTTCATAAATCCATGTTGCCTCTGCCTAATCTGACCATGATTTTCTAAGTGTCCTTTTATCAAATCCTTTATTATAAATAGATCGTAACATTTTCTCTACAGTTGATGTTTGGTTCACAGGCCTGTAATTCCCTGGTTTCTCTCCGCCCCCCATTACTTAAATACCGGTGTTACATTTGTCACCTTCCAATCTGCAAGAGCTTTTCAAGGATCTATAGAATTTTGTAGGATAACCACAAATATATCTTCTATCCCTTTTAATACCTAGGGATGTAGATAATTAGGTCCAAACAATTTATCCCCTACTTTAACTCCCATTAATTTCTCCAGTTCTTTTCTTTAAACTAACATTGATATATTGAAGTTCCTCTTCTACACACGTCTCTAGATTCTCCGTTATTTCTGGGAGGTTTTTTAATATTTCCTTCTATGTAGACAGTCACAGTGTTTATCTAGTCTGTCTGCCATTTCCTTATTTTCCATAATAAATTCTCCTGACTCTGCTTGTAATGGACCCATCTGTATTTCTCACATTTTCCTCTGGAAGCTTTACAGTTATTTTTATGTCTCTTGCTTACACACACGTTCACTTTTATTTAATCTTTCCTTTGATTTTCCTTTTCAGAATTCTAAATGCTCCGAATCATCAGAGTAACCCTATTTTTGGTAATTTAATGCGCTACTTTTAATACAATCCTTGATTTCTTTCGCCAATCGTTGTTGGGAGACATATTTTTGCTGGGCTTTGTACCTTAAAGGAATGTATTTTTTATTGTAAGTAGTGTTAGCTCTTTAAATTTTAACCATTTCCTGTCTATCGTCATATCTTCTAATGTAATTTCCCAATGCACTGTAACCAGTTTGCCTCTTGTACCTCCACAGTTTCTTTCCTTTAGATTTATGGGGCCCGACTTCTGACTGAAATAAATCATTTTCAAAATTAATGCAAAATTATATCATGTTATGTTCACTATTTTCTAAACTTGCTTTTAGAGATCGCTGTGAATCAAGTAATAATTTACTACTACAAGATGTATACTAAAATATTGTGTACACTCTTCTGGGCACAGTACAAATCACTTTGACAGTGGGACACAATCAGAAAGGAAAGACTTGTGTCTTACACATGTCGCTGTGGGTCTGTTGGTAACATGCTCACCTTTTGAGTCAGAAGGTTGAAGGTTCATGTTCTTCTCTGAGGCTTGAATACAGAAATCAGTCAGGCTTGGCACTGCTGCATCGAGGGAGTGCCGCACTCTCAAAGGAGCAGACTTTCAGATGAAACATTAAACTGAGGTTTTGTCTGCATGCCCAGCGACTGTAAAGAATTTTGACCCAGCAACAGTAAATGAATAGTGATATAATTCCAAGTCAGGATGGGGAAGAGGCGTGGTTGGTTGATTGATTTATTGTCACATGTACTGGAGTACAGTGAAAAGCTTTTGTTTATGAGCAGTACAGGCAGATCATAGTAAGCAAGGATGTACTGAACAGACGTTGTAAAAATCTTAGAGGCATACAGGTTACATTGCACTAGGCGAGATCAATGTTAGCAAGATGAGCATTGTTTGAGGCTGGAGAGTCCATTCATCAGTCTAATAATGGATGGGAAGAAGCTGTTCCTGAACCTGCTGGTGCGTGTTCAGGCTTCTGTATCTTCTGCCTGACGAAAGAGGTTGTAGGAGATCATTACTGCGGTGTGATGGATCTTTGATGTTGGCAGCCTTTCCGCAGCAACAAGCCGTGTAAACGGAGTCCATGAAGAGAACATGCAGGTTGTATCCCTTTTATATTCCAGTTCTGTGGCCAGCATTCCATGAGCCTGTTAGATTGCTTTTCATGGTTAAAGATGTGTCTCCTTTGGGTTTCCATATCAGTACTACAGTGGAAACGTAGAGCTCAGAGGTTAGCACTGCCGCCTCACAGAGCCAGGGACCTGGGTTCGATTCCACCCTCCGGCAATTCTGAGTGGAGTTTGCACATTCTTCTCGTGTCTGCGTGGGTTTCCTCTTGTTCCGGTTTCCTCCCACAGTCCAAAGATGTGCAGGTTAGGTGAATTGGCCATGCTAAATTGCCCATAGTGTCCAGGAATGTGCAGGCTAGATGGGTTAGCCATGAGAAATGTAGGGTAGGGGCGTGGGTTTGGGTGGGACACTCTTCGGAGGCTCGGTGTGGACTCGATGGGCCAAATGACATGCTTCCACAATGTAGAGATTCTATGAAATGATTGAATATTGTAGAGTTTTACTTGAATGTCTTGGTGATCAGAGAACATTCAGAACAGAGGAAAGGACTAAGCTATTTAGCTGTTGAGTCAGCTTCACCATTCAATTAGATTTTGGCTATCTATACCAGCACCACTTTCCCATCTCCATATCCTTTTGATGTCATTAGCTTCCAGAAACTATTGAAACAGAACTTACCCATGGTATGTTAAAGGTGAAATAGGGAAGATAATGGAACACGATAAGCTGTAGAAACATGCTGAAAATGTTGGATCTGGCAGTACTTGGGAAGGCTGGCTTCCAGAGGAAGTACTAGATTTCATCCTCGCTGTTTACTTCTGTTTTCTGGTTAAATTTGCATGCTGTTCTGCACTCTGTCTGTGCAGTGGTGGATGATCTCTGGTTGGTGTTTACTATCATAAGGGGCTCTCTGATGAGTTGGTGGTCTCTACGGCTGGCTTTGTTGCTGATTCCCACAGTTGGGTCGTGCACTCTGGGTCCTACAGCATCGCATGAAGATAGCTGCTTGCGTATGATACCAGAGAGATACAAACACCAGTGTACTCTGGAAACTGGCAATTTGTTCAACCGTGGGAGGGGGAAATAGAATGTATTATGGATAGCCTCATCAAAAATGAAGAGCAGTCTCCTGTGACATGAGATCAAAGAGAGTTCTCTCATGCAGTCCTTGACAGAATTAATTATTGTTAGTTACAGCATCCTGAACATTAATAACTTCCTTTAGCATGTAGATAGAGCCAACCCGAAAACTACTTACCTGCTAATAGTATCCACTATGACTCAGTCCTTAGTACAATGTTATGGATTCAAGCCTCACTCTGGAGACTTGAGCACAAACTGTAAGATGCCATGTACAGTGCAGTACTGAGGGAGCGATAAATTGTTGAGGCACTGTCTTTCAGATGAGATTTGAAATCATCTTCCCTTTCAATGGTATAGAGGATTCCTTGGTACCTGATGAAGAAAAACTGCAATATTATCCTCTGTTTCCCCATCAATATTTGTCCTTCAACCAACATTGCTAAAACTGTCAGTCAGTTCATTGCTATTCCATGTGCAAATTATTTACGTAGCATCATTCTAACAGAAACTACACTTCAAAAGTGCTTTTGTTGGCTTTAAACCTCCGGGCTATCTTGAGGTGATGAGAGGTATTGAAAGAACGCAAGCTAAACACAAATTGCTGGAAGAACTCAGTTCTGAAGAAGGGTCACTAGACTTGACACATTATAGGGAGGCAATGGTCTAGTGGTATTATCGTTGGACTGTTAATCCAGCGACACAGATAACGTTTTGGGGACCCAGGGTCGAATCGCAGCATGGCAGATGTTGGAATTTGAATTCGATAAAATATCTGGAATTAAGAATCTGATGGTAATGAATCCATTTTTGACTGTCGGAAAAACCCATCTGGTTCACTAATGTCCTTTAGGGAAGGAAACTGCCATCCTTACCTGGTCTGGCTTACATGTGACTCCTGACCCACAGCAAAGTGGTTGACTCTGAACTGCCCTCTGAGCAATTAGGGATGGGCAATAAATCTGCCTGGCTGGCGATGCCCTCTTTCCCCGAATGAATAAAAATTCAAACAATTTTATTTCTTTCTCCACAGATGCTGCACGACCTGCTGCACTTCTCCAGCAATTTCTCTTTGCGTTTCAAATTTCCAGCATCCACAGTTCTTTGTCTTATTTAAGATGAATGCAAAGCATCCAAAATTTTCAATTCCACAGTGAATGAAGGATTTCTTAATTTGATATGATTTATTATTGTCACATGTACTGAGATACAGTGAAAAGTATTGTTTTGCGGGCTATCCAGACAAGTCATACCTTACGTCAGGGTGATGGAATGTGGAATATGGTGTCACAACTACAAAGAAAGTGCAGATAAAGGTCGGCTGTAATATATGAGAGATCTGTGACATCATTTTGTGTAACAAGTGTGATTAATGTTCAGGAGTTCAAACGTAGGAGATATTTTGGTTGAGGATAATAATTTCTTACTTCCCTTGTTAGATATCTGGATCAACCGGAAGACTAAGTGTGATGCAGGCTGGCTGCCATTTCAGTGCAACTGCTATCGGCTGAACGTCGAGAGGAGGAGCTGGCAGGAAGCACAGAAAAGCTGTGTGAGGTCGGAGGGAAACCTGATCAGCATCCATCACCTGGCAGAGCTGGAATTTGTCCTGACCCAGGTCAAACAGGGTAAGGCTGCACAACTGTGTGTAGTCACTGACACTGGGAGCAGTGCAAACAGACTGTGACACTTCTATCTACAAAGGTTGAAAACTGAGAGGAGTCCTAATGAAGGTCTTTTAAGATTATGAATGAATTCAATAGGGTCAATGTACAAAGGATGTTTCCACTTGTGGGAAGTCCAATGTTAGCATCCAGAAGTATTCGCTAGTTATTAATAACTCAATAATTCCACTAAGGAATTCAGGAGATACCCATTTACGTAAGGTTACCGCCAGGTGTAACTGGTGTGAATAACTTTGGGGAGAAGCTAAATAAGTGTGAGAGAGAGAGAGGCATAAAAGGTGATAAACCATCCCCACTATCTCTGTGACTGTCATTGTGTACTCACACACCCTCTGACAACAGGCAGCAATATGTATGTATCGTTAGAAATCAAGGGCACAGGAATTAAATAAAACACATTTTAAAAAAACTTCAACTTCCTCCCCCTCAATATTAGGATTCAGAAGACCCCAGGAGCAATCAATCTGTCAATCTCAGATCCATCAGCCGTCAATTATTGTTGACTTTGCAGATTTTATTTCTCCATGTGGATCACGAGGAGAGGTTACCAATGGCCGGCCTACAAATCAGAAACCAGCTGGGGCAAACTTTGACCTCACTGCTCACAACAGTGGTCAGCTTCTGACTGCAGCATCAAGGGGAGATCTGCCAGTGGCTGTGCTACTGAGCTCCTCTGCTGCCAAATTGCAGTACATGTTGTGGAGGTGCTGGTGTTGGACCGGGGTGGGCAAGGTCAGAAATCACACGACACCAGGTTATAGTCCAACAGTTATTTGAAAACACAAGCTTTTGGAGTCTTCCTCCTCATTCAGGTGTTAGTGAGACGGGTAGTATCTGACACAGAATTTATAAGTAAAAGATCAAAGAGTCACACCATTGCTGAGAATGTACTAAACAAATCTAAAATGCTGTTAAATCTTTAATCAGTTAGAAGGTTTTAATTGATTAATTTATGTATGTAAATCCCCAAATTCCTTTGAAGTCACTGTCCTGAGAAAACTAAAGGTTTTATCAGTGTAAAGAAGAGGTGACATTTTAGGTCAGACAATGCATGTTAAGTGTAAGGCCTTGTTTAGAATCTGTTAGTGTTTAGGTTTGGAGTCAGACTAATTCTTTTTCTAAGTAGGAATTTATAAAACGCCACATTGACTGACTGACTGTCTATAAATTGTTATTGAACAATATAGAATGTATCTGCAAATACAAATTCATCCCACAGATTCATGTGAGAGAGAGTGAGTGAGAGAGTAAGGCGAGCGAGAAACTGTACAGTCTAATGCAACATGAACCCAAGATCCCGGATAGTCCGTCGTCATGGCTAAAAAACTTGGCTATCAGCCTCTGCTTGTTAACTCTGCATTGTTGTGTAGTGTTCCCCCACTGGGAGGGAACATTCCTCTCTGGCAACTGCTGCACAGTGTCCATTCATCAGTTGTAATAACTTCTACATGGTTTCGCCAATATAACATGCCTCGGAGCATCCTTGCCTGCAACATATGAGATAGACAACATTGGCTAAGTCACGGAAATATTTTCTGAAAAATGTCAGCTAGGTCCAAAACGACAGCCTTCCTGCTCCTCTGATGCTGCTTGGCCTGCTGTGTTCATCCAGCTCCACACCTTGTTCTCTCACATAAATATCTGCTGTTCACGTGGTGGGTGGTGTTCCCACATGTGATGGTAGTGTCCATGTGGAAAATCTGACATTTCTTGCAGAGGTTGCAATGACAAGGTTTACAGTGTTGTGGTCGATGTGTTCCTGAAGGCTGAGTAGTTTGCTGCGAACAATGGTCTGTTTAAGGTATGATGATTGTTTGAAGGCGAGAAATAGAGGCAGATATTCATGTGACTCAGCCAATGCTGTCTATCTCAGACGCAGCTACAACAACGGATGAATGGACTGTGTAACAATCCCCAGAAGGGGGCGTTTCCTCTTGGTCGGGGGTGGGGAGCACTTCAGCGGTCAGGGACATTCGGCCTCAGATCTTCAAGGTACGCAACATCATAGAGTCGCCGAGCATAGACTGATAGCCAGGTTCAGTACCCATGAGGACGGCTTTAGCTGGCATCTTGGGTTCATGTTGCACTATAGTTGATCCCACCACACTATACACTCTCATTCACGTTCTTATACACATGCATACATACACATAAGCACTCACTCCCACAAACACACATGCACGCGCTCCCTCGCAAAAACACGTGCACGTACTCACTCACTCTCTCAAACATGCACGCACTCACTCACTCACAAACACGCATTCACGCACTCACACAAATACACACGCACTCATTCACTCACACAAACACGCACGCACGCGCTCCCGTGCACAGCTGTCACCCGCGCATGCGGGCACCCTTGCACGCGCACACTCACATGCACATATGCACGAAAATACACTGACTCACTCTCTCTCACTCCCACTCGTGCAGTGAGGAGGTGATGGCCGAGTGGTATTATCGCTGGGCTGTTAATTCAGCGACCCAGATAACATTCTGGGTACCAGGGTTCGAATCCCACCATGGCAGATTGTGAAATTTGAATTCAATAAATATCTGGAATTAAGAATCCAGTGATGACCATGAATCCATTGCCAATTGTTGGAAAACCCCATCTGGCTCACTAATGTCCTGGAAACTGCCATCCTTACCTGGTCTGGCCTACATGTTACTCCAGACCCACTGCAATGTGGTTTACTCTTAACTACCCTTTGGGAAATTAGGGATGGGCAATAAATGCTACCTAGCCAGCGATGCCCTCATCCCGTGAATAAATAAAGAAAACACTCTCACTCACTCACTCACTCCTTCCTCATACACACTCTCTCTCTCTCTCGCTCACGCACACGTGAATCTATGAGGTGAATTTGTATTTGCAGATATATCCTATTTTGTTCAAAAAGCACACAATTTATAGACAGTCAGTCAATGTGGCGTTTTATAAATTCCTACTTTAGAAAAAGAATTAGTCTGACTCCAAACCTAAACACAGCCAGATTCTAAGCAAAACCTCACACTTAACATGCAGTGTCTGACCTAAAATGTGACCTCTCCTTTACATTGATAAAACCTTTAGTTATCTCGGGACAGTGACTTCAAAGGAATTTGGGGATTTACAAATACATATTAATCAATTAAAACCTTCTGACTGATTAAAGATTTAACAGCATTTTAGATTTGTTTAGTACATTCTCAGCAGTGGTGTGACTCTTTGATCTTTTACTTATAAATTCTGTGTCTGATACTGGCCTATCTCACTCACACCTGAATGAGGAGTAAGTGGCAGTACAGCACATTGGTCACACGTAGCCTGACTCCTGCTCACAGTCTGTAATGTTCCGTTAATTAGTGAGCCGACTGAACTTCAACCGTAATGAGGTTTTTGGGATCATTTGCGTTCTTTGAATGAGTCCGAGAGCTGAACCACTCATGGGAGTTCTGCCAGACATTAGTTCAGTGTCCAACTGCGTGCTACAGTGCAATGTACTGTAATTACTTTTCTGGTGTCCATATGTAGCTGATGCACAAGGCCGTCCTCTCCACCTTTGCTAGGCAGGAGGGACCAGTGTCTTCACTCCATTCCCCACCCCAACCCAGCTCCCCTGACAATGACACTGTGACATAAAGGTGCCTCTTATGTCTTTTTTAAATCTCTCTCCTCTCACCTTAAAAATGTGCCATGGTAGGTGTCTTTTCCCTAGGATGGGGGATTTCAAGACGAGGGGGCACATCTTTGAGGTGAGAGGAGAGAGATTCAAAAAAGACCCGAGAGGCAAATTTTTTACACTGCGGGTGTTTCGCGTGTGGAATGAACTTCCTCAGGAATTGGTGGATGTGGGTACAATTACAATGTTTAAAAGACATTTGGATGGATAAATGAATAGGAAAGGTTTGGAGGGATATGAGCCAGGAGCAGGCAGATGGGACTAGTTTAGTTTGGAATTATGTTTGGCATGGACTGGACCGAAGGGTCTGTTTCCATGCTGTATGACTTTGTATGATTGCCACACAAAATCAAAGGTGTTAGAGGTTACAGAACCAGAGCAGATACAAGCAGACTAAAAGTGGATCAGTCGTAATGTAACGAATGGAGGAAAAAGTTCAATGGACTGAATGGTGTCACCTTGTTTCAGTGCCTTGTATCAGGAAAAAGGAATCATTAAAGCAGGGAAATATGTTGATGAATGTTGGGTGAGGGAGGTGATTGGATAGATGGGCATTGATCTCAAATGCAATTGAACGATTGTGACACGAGGTCATGAACAAGATAAAGACGTCCACACTCAACAGCTTTCAGGTTTGGGGGCGGTGGTGGTGGAGCGGCGCGGAGCGAGCATTCGAAATTTTCAGTTCTCTTTGTGTGAAGAAATATTTCCTGGTACCAACCCTAAACAAGCTGGCTCGAATTTGAAACCTGAGCCCTCTTTAATGGACTCTTTTTCTTAACTTGTTTGAAGGATGTGATCAGGTCAGCATTCACCACCCAGCCCTAATTATCTGGAGAAGGTCATGGTGAACCATAATCTTAAACCACTGCAGTCCTTAGGCACCCTAGGTACTTTTAGGGAGGGAGTTCCAGGATGTTAATCCAGTGACAGTGAAGGAGCAGCAACATAAGGGCAGGTGGTGGTGTAGTGGTGTGATGTCACTGTACCAGTATTCCAGAACCCCAGGCTAATGCCCTTGGTACATGAGTTTGAATCCTCCTGTGATGGACAGTGAAATATGAATTCATTTAAATGTCTGGAATTAATAGCTGGCTAGTGGCAGTCATTTCACCACTGTAAATTATTATAAAATCCTATCTGGTTCACTAATGTCCATTTGGGAAGGAAACTGCCACCCTTAATGTGTCTGGCCTCATGTGACTCCAGACCCACAACAAATTTCAACTGCCCTCTGAAGTGGCCCAGCTGGCCATTTCAGTTATATATATCCAAGTTTTAAGCCTCAATCCTCAAACACCTCGTTGTGTTCCCCATCATCTCCTGGTTGGGGTTTCTCCTCAGTGTTAATGAACTTCTCTGCAGATGAAACAGGACCAAGTCTTTGTTCCCTTTGGAGTCAGCCTACAGCTGTGAATCTTCACCATATTATTTTCTGTATTTAATTTCTACTTTTAGTGGACGTCATTTTGAATTGGCTCCTCATCTCAAAAACAGATTGGGTGTCAGACATTTCAACTGCTTTTCATGAAAGAACTACTTCATTCAAGCATTGAACTAAACATTTAGCATCTTAAATAAACTACGTTCCATGTGTGCAGGATCTTGTCTCAGTAGACCCTAGTTGTTACTTGGTGCTGTGCTTTGGCATAAAAGTTTGAGCCTGTCTCTTAGTTGTTAACATCTCATCTCTGAGTTAAAGATTGTTGGTTCAAGTCCAGTGTGCTGACTTGTGTCTGCAGCTAATTGATCTAATATAACCAACTCCTCTGAACTCTTTCCCATTTGATCCCCTCTCTGATCCCTCTTAATAGTGACCAGTTCTTTATCCTGGTGCTCCTTGATTTTCCATCTCCTCTTCAGACCTTGTTTCTGCTCTCCTCTGTTTTCATTCTTGTGTTCAATCTATCCTGTCATATCCATTTATACCCTCCCTACAACACAAGCTAACCTTCTGAAGAGTCATTTGTCTGAACACTGTTGGGGATCAACTTGCTTACCTTGATCAGAACCAATGCCCACTGAATCTATTTTTATGGACTAGACCAAACCTCCTCAAGATATATTCAGAGGATAATCTAGACCCTGACTTTCCTTAGTGTAAAGGTAAGTGTAAGGTGTTGCATTCCAGATGCAATTCAGTTGGTTAAACTGGTCAACATTAAGCAAAGCATGCTTTATTTTTACACTACAGTTAAAATACAGACAAAATAAAAATAAAAGAATTAGCTTAACTGCAAATCTATCAATGCTTAACAAAATAGATATATTAACTACTACTAATCAACTGTTCCAATATAGTAACAGCCCATAAGCGCCCTTGGCAAAGGCAAGTTCAGTAAAATAGATTGTCTCACAGGAATTCTCCCGGCTAGGAGGAAAAACATCAAGAGAAAACTGTGTGTGTGTCTGTCTGTGTGTGCGCTTCAAGACCCCAGCAATAACTGCTACTGAAAAGCTAAAACTAAAAATCCTGGATCTGGGGAGCTTGACCACACTCATTCAGGCTGCTTCTATTGTTCCAACTTTTTAAAAATAAACCAAAGGCCTCATAAGCTGTTTACTTTATTGGAATCAAATAGACAGCTTGTAACCTCTGTCTTAAAACCTCTGTTCAAACAAAAGGATAAAATACACCTCTTAAAGTCGTAGTACCATCAAACTATCCATTCACATTTAGCCTGTTTTGTCTTACTATTTCTGTGCTCACTAGACCATGGTAAAGGCAGTAATCCAGAATTGGCCCAACGACATCTTGCTTTTTAATTTCCTCCCAAGCTCCTGAAAATCAGATGAAAGGATTTCAATCCTTGTATTCCAATGACATTGTTTCCCACATGGATCATGATTTCGGGCTGTTTCCCTTCCCTTCCATTTGTTCTGCAGCTTCTCAATGGTGGCAGGTGCCAGGCAGCAGGATAATAGTCATTTGGAAGAGCAGAACTTGAGGATTGCTGAAAAAAAGACATTTTGGTGAAATTTCTTGGTTAGGGTCTGGACTCCGCTGCTTGAGCATGTAATGAAAGCGTATTCAATTGTGGCTTTCAGAAGGGAATTGGATAAACACCTAAAGAGACAAAAAATTGCAGGGTTTCAGAGACATTCATCTACATTGCTCTGGTCAACTTGGCAAGAATTTTCCAGGCTGAATAGCATCTTTCTGTGCTGTGGTCGTTCTATGATTCTGTAAAAATCAATTTGGGAATGCTACACTCCCAGAGGATTCCAGTGTTGACATCAACTCCACATCATGCTGGATGACCAACTGATGAGTATTTATCTTCCTACACTTCCTGTGAGTGTTGAGTGACCACTCTTGCAACATCCACTCCAGGAAATTCTCAACCTCCTATAAGAGATGGGAGCAGATTTGGGCCATTTGGCCCATTGAGTCTGTTCTGCCATTCAGTCATGGCTGATGTGTTTCTAATATTGCTAGTCAAGAACCTGTCTATCTCTGTTTTAAATACACTCTGACTTGGTCACCACAGTCCTCTGCAGCAATGAGTTCCACAGATTGATCACCCTCTGACTGAAGAAATTCCTCTTCATCTCAGTTCTAAAGGGTCATCCCTTCACTCTGAGGCTGTGCCGTTAGATTCAAGTTTCTCCTATTAGTGCAAACATCTCCTCCACATCCACTGTATCCAGGCCACTCAGTATTCTATAAGTTTCAATCAGATTCCCCCTCATTTTTCTAAATTCCATTGAGTACAGACACAGAATCCTCAACTGCTCCTCATGTGACAAGCAGTTTATCCCCAAGATTATTCTGGTAAACCTCCTTTGGACTCCCTCCAAAACTAGCACATCCTTTCTTAGATATGGAGCCAAATGCAGTCTGACCAGAGCCTTATACAGCCTCAGCAGTACATCCCCGCTTGTGTATTCTAGCTCTCTTGAAATTAATGCTAACATTGTATTTGCCTTCCTAACTGCCAACTGAATTTGCATATTATTCTTTCAAGAAATCTGAACTATGACTCCCAAGTCCTTTTGTGCTTCAGATTTCCAAAGCATTTTCCCCATTTAGAAAATAGTCTGTGCCTCTATTCTTCCTACCAAAGTGCATAACCTTACAATTTCTCATATTGTATTCCATTTGCCACTTCTTTGCCTACTCTCCTAGCCTGTCCAAGTCCTTCTGCAGCCTCCCTCAACACTACGTGCCCCTCCACATATCTTTGTGTCATCTGCAAACATAGCAACAATGCCCTCAGTTCCTTCATCCAGCTCATTAATGTGTAATGTGAATAGTTGTGGTCCCAACACTGACCCTTGTGGAATTCACTAGCCACCGGCTGCCATCCTGAAAAATACCTCTATGCCCACTCTCTGCCTTCTGCCAGTCAGCCAATCCTCTGTGTACTGCAGTGCTTTCAACCACTAAACCCTGAACTCAAGCTGAGTGAAGAATATGTTCGTCATAAGCCTGGATAATTTGGAAGTGAATGGAAAGGACACTTGTTAATAATTTGGACAGGAGCCACCTTTTCTTGACTGTCTCAGCAGATAGTGGCCATGACTTTGCCAGTGAAGAGCAGCACCCAGACTTACCAAGACCTGCTCTGGGTTTCCCACTTGGGCCTTTAAATGGGGCAGTTTTGTTTTAACCAGTTGCCTCCTCCCTACCACAACGACAGCTTCAAACTTCACAGGGCATGTAACTGAAGGTATTATTGACATTGCAAAACTCAGGAATGGTCTCTGATCGAGTATTAAGGAGAAATCATGTGTTTGCTTTTGTGCATGTTTGTGTGTATATGCGTAGGTGTGTGTGCCTGAGGATCTGTATATTTATGTTTCTAACTGGGTCTATGTGTGTCTGGGGGGTGGGGTTTGTGTATCTGAGGCTGTATATTTGAGAATCGATATTTTGGGGGCATGGGGTTTTGTCTGGCTGAGGCTATATGTCTGGGTACAGGATGTGTTTGGGTGCATGTGTCTCACAGGCTGTGTAGTTGAGCTCCTGTGTCTAGGGTGTGTGTTTCTGTGTGTGTCTACAGCATCTGTATCTGGCATATGTACATCAGGGTGAGGATGAGGATCTGTATACGGGGTCTGTGTCTGGGTTGGTGCATTTCTCAGTACAGTATGTGTCTAGATGTGTCTCTCTCGAGGGTTACGTGGGTGAGGGTCTGTATCTGGGCTCTGTGTCTGGTGAATACTGCAGGGCAGCTGGTGATCACTCCATTTGTCAGCTCCCTGACTCCCTTTGTCTCTCTCCTTCCACTGCAGATGCCGAGGAATTGTGGATTGGTCTTAATGACATCAAGCGCCAAATGAACTTTGAGTGGTCGGATGGGACTCCAGTTCGCTTCACTTTCTGGCATCCCTTTGAGCCTAACAACTTTGCAAGTGGTCAAGAGGACTGCGTCACACTCTGGGGCTCGGTGAGAGACATGTTTGCCTTTCAAGGAGTTGTTAGGGTTGGGGACATAGAATACAAATGTAATTTAATCCTCCTGCATGTAGAATGGCCATTTTTATGTTCAGTAACATTTCCCTCTTCCTCAAGTGATCTAGAATTTAGTGTACTTTCTGTGGTCTTGAGGCATGTTGTGTAATCCATGATTTGCATTAAATTCAGTCATAGAGACATACAGCACGGAAACACACTTTGGCCCAATTTGTCCATGCTGACCAGGTTTCCTAAACTGAACTAGTCCCATTTGCCTTCATTTGGCTCATATCCCTCTAAACCTTTCCTATTCACATACCTGTCCAAATGTCTTTCAAATGTTGTAATTGTACCCACCTCTGCCACTTCCTCTGGCACCTCATTTCATGTGTACACCACCCTCTGTGTGAAAAAGTTGCCCCTAAGGTCCATTTTAAATTTTCTCCCTCTCACCTTTAAACCTATGCCCTCTAGTTTTGGACTCCCCTGCCCTTGGAATAGACCTTGGCTATTCACCCTATTCATGGTCCTCATGACCTTATAAACGTCTATAAGGTCTCCTATGCTCCAGAGAAAAATGCCCAGCCTACCCAACCTCTCTCTATAACTAAAACCCTCCAGTCTTGGTAACATCCTTGTAAATCCTTTTTGCACTCTTTCCAGTTTAATAACATCCCAACAAGGAATTGCACTGTGGGAAAGCAACTGAGTTCAGTATTCCTGATCCCTTGGGAAAATTTCACAATCTTCAGAGTTGAAGAGTTTTGATGGAGCAGATTGAAAGGGGTGGAGGGTCAGCAAGGAACAGAGAGAGGTTTCAACTTATTTGCAAAAAAAAAGCATTAGATGGGAAATAAGACCTTATCTTACCCAGCGGATTACATTCACCAGAAGCATGTTTTCTGAAAGGGTGGCAGAAGCCGATTCAGTGGTAACTTGTAAAACGGAATTGACTAAGTAGTTGAAAGGCATGTGAAAGTTTGTTGGGGAGTAAGGCAAACTGAATAGTTAATTTAAAGAGTAGGTAGAATTGGGCCAATTGGCTGCCTCCTATGCTTAATGCTTTTCAATGACTAAAGGCAGCAGCATCTGAGGAAACCTTCTTTCACTGTAGTACCTTCACTTGGAAAAGGCATCAGGGAGTTGCTGTTGGCAAAGACATCCATGTGAATTACTGCAGTGGAATGGAGAAAATAATGACGGTTGGTCAATTGTGTGGAATCAACTTTACTTCATGCAATGCTGAAGGCCTATGCAAGGCAAAATATGAGCTGTTTGCAAGAGAATGCTTTTGCAGGAGTGTGGACATTGTGGCCTTGCATGAAACACATCTCACAGACCATTCCACCCATCGAACCACCTATGCCAAGGATGGAGGACACCTAAACTCGGATGATTCTTACTCTATCTTGGTCAAAGTAGGTAAACTGGCCAACACAAAAGTCTACAACACCATCATCCAACATCGTCACACAGCCTCCAACATACCCACCAATAAACATTAGTGACTTCAACAGCCAGCATCATGCATGAGGATTTCTCAACAACACCAGAGTAGGAGTACAACAGGACCCTCTGTGCTTGACCTAAAATCTGTGTACAATGCAAAACAGCCTGGTGCATTCTGTTCCATGACTATTCACCTGATCTTTGCTTCAGGACTCACAATAGCTGACTGGGGATTTGCTTCCAACAAATGTTAACCATCTTCTTCCGACAATCCCCCCCACCCCCACCCCGAAACTCCCAACATGGGCCAACCCCCACAGTTACCATCTATAAACTCAGACTAAACTATGCTGGAACCTGTGGATCATTCATAATCATTTACACTGTGTCAGCTGGAGCCATTGAGTGAATTATTGACCTTATTATGGAACTATAAATGCTTCTCCAGTCAATGGAACCGCTGCTAATGCTGACCTTTCACCTGGCTTCCCAGTGCATTCTGATGGATATAGGGAGGGGAAGGGGGCACGGGGTTCAGATTTCAGTTATGAAGATATTTATTGTGTTGTCCCTGCTACACACTGCAGCTTGTTAGTGTATCCCTCAGCAGCAGGCAATTTGAGAACAGTGAAGTGAACCAATCATGTTTCCAAATGTTTTAGCTCTCATTCATTGAATTGGAGGCTCTTATGATTTGCTAGCTCTGTTGGGAATAACCTGCCTTATGGAGTGTGAATGGTAAATGTCTCTGATATGATGCATTATAAGGGACTTCTCTGCCTGTCATATACAGTGAAGGGGCTGTCTGGAAATGATCATGACTGGAACTAATTCAGTATCAGTGATTCTCCCAGCCTGGGTACCAGGAATACCCTTTCTGGGTATAATGCAGTCTGGGGGATATCAGCTGCTTCATCAATGGCCTTCCCTCCATCCTAAGATCACAAGTGGGGATGTTTGCTGATGATTGCACAATGTTCAGTACCATTCATGACTCCTCAGATACTGAAACAGTCCATGTTTCAAATGCAGTGAGATCTAGACATTATCCAGCCTTGGGCTGACAAGTGGCAAGTAACATTCAAACCAAATGCCAGGCTATGTCCATCGCCAATAAGAGACAATCTAACTATCACCCTTGACATTCAAAGATGTTACCATCACCGAACTCCCCCACTAACAACATCCTGGGGGATCCAATGAGCAGAAACTGAACTGGACTGGCCACACAAACACAATAGCTACAAGAGCAAGTCAGAGGCTAGGAATACTGTGGCAAATAACTCACCACCTGACTCCACAAAGCCTGTCCACCTTCTACAAGGCACAAGTCAGGAGTGTGATGGAATATTTCCCCTTTACCTGGATGGGTGCAACTCCAACAACACTCAAGAAACTTGACACCATCCAGGATAAAGTAGCCTGCTTGATTGGCACTACGGCCACAAGCATTCACTTCCTCCACCACCGACATTCGTTAACAGCAGCATGTACCATCTACAAGATGCACTGCAGAAATTCACCAAAGATCCTTAGACAGCACCATCCAAACCCATGACCACTTCCATCTAGAAGGATAAGGGCAGAGATACATGGGAACACCACCACCTGCACATTACACTCCAAGCCACCCACCACCACACACACCATCCTGACTTGGAAGTATATCACCGTTCCTTCACTGTCATTGGGTCAAAGTCCTGGAATGCCCTCCCTATGGCATTGTGGATAAACCTACAGCACATGGACAGCAGTGGTTCAAGAAGGCAGGTCAACACCACCTTCTCAAAAGCAACTAGGGACAGGCAATAAATACTGGCCCAGCCAGCAACACCCACGTTCCACAAGTGAATTTTTAAAAAAATCCCTCTCTGGGTATGAAGCAGTCTGGTGGGAGCCCTGGTCTGGTGGTGATGTAGTACAGTCGGGAACCTCTGGGAGCCGAAACCTTTGGTGGAAAGACAACTGCTATTTGCATCATAATGACATCACTGGAGTTACATGAGAGGTCATCATATGAGTGTCTATATTTATAAATTCCTGTTGTCCTGGCAATAATGGAGGGCAGCAGTACCCCAGCAGGATGGGTGACTCACATTTACCATCAGTTACAGTGATAAATGGCACCTTTAGCTGATGTGACACCTAACCCTTCCCAACCCCTCAGCAGGAACAACTTAACGTGTGACTCCACTTTGTCCTAGTGGAGGTTATGCCCTGCAAGAAGGAGCTGGTGATGGACTACCAATAAATAGACATGCTGGATACAGTCAGGGCACTGGGAGATTTAAAACTAGGAAATGGAATCTGCTGTCAACAGAGTCTGAGTGATCTGAAAAGAGGAAGGGATCAAGCTGTAGGGATTGACTGTGGAGGGAAGGAGTGTGTAGGGACAGGGCAGACTGACTGACCTCTGGGCGATTGGTGAAGGTGACTCTGGGGTTGGTGGGAGGTCAGAATCAGGAACAGAGTTGAACGACCGTCACTGGACATTGGCTGGGGTATGTAATGGAGTTGACCTGCTTGCCTTGGACTGACCAACTCTGAAGAGAGACAATGGGGAATCACCAGCTCTTTGGGGGAGGGGAAGAGCAGGGACATGGCTGTGGAAGTTACTGGATCAGGGAGAAGGGACTGTGTCAGGGAGGAGTGATTGGCTCTAGTTGGGATTGTTAGGGAATGAGTGACCTGCATTGGGGCACAGGAGAGAGAGTGACTATCTCTGGAGATGGATGAGGCGTTGTAATCAGCTTGGGAGGGGCTTGTTTAGGGAGGGAGTGGTCAGTCTGAGGTGTAATGAGTGAGGAGTAGGGAGATTAACTTGAGTCTGTAATGTATTTGTGTTCAATTCAGGAACAATTGAATGTCAAGGAGAAAAGGGATTGATTAAGTGTTATTTGACCTTTACAAAAGCACCAAAAAAATAGAATTTGGATATTGGTTTTGCGTATGTGCGACCGGAATAAAACCCCTTACGTGAAACTGCTGCCTTAGATAAAACTTAAACAGGGATTCACAGTTAGATCATCTTGTTGTTAAAGGTTGATTTAACTCTGGGTGAATCATTTACAGGTTTTTATTAATCAGCACACTGTTAAATAGTGACAGTCAACTTGATGGTTGTCCTAGGACTGGCTAATGTATCCGTGTTTCTGACAAACACTCAATACTCAAATATGACGCCTTCCTCTTTACTCATCCAGGAGGGACGATGGAATGATGGGCCCTGTAACCTCACACTGCCTTCCATCTGCAAGAAACCCAGTTGCTCCTCAGAAGAGGAGGACGAGCTCTTGGAAGACAATCTTGGCTGTACAAAGGTCAGTAAATCAACACTGTCCTGTCCACCTCACTCTCCTTGCCCTCTCTTTCTTTCTCATTTGCACCTTTGCTCTCCTCCCTTTCCTTATTTTCTAATCTCCATCTCATCTCCTTCTCTTCCTCCCTTCCCCCTTTCCCCCACTCTTCTGTCCCCCCACTCTTCTGTCCCCCCACTCTTCTGT